ATAAATTGATTAAAATCACAAACAAGAGCATAAAGGTTTAACTCACATTCATCTCATCATATTCAATAAAATTAATTATTAGGGTGTAAGCATTTAAGTAAATGTGGATAAGAAATATTATATTTGCATTAAGGACAAACATAAAAACATTGATTACTATTTTGGTAGAAAGGAAAACTGTTTTAAGTTATGACCAACTGACCATGCACAATTCCTCACAATTAAAGACAGAAAATTAGGATTAAGCAATCTTGAATTAGAAAGTCAAAAACAAATCATCATATATGTACAGTACGAAATTGTAGTGGAAAGTTGGTTCAAGAATCCATAACGTCACAGTAAAATTTCAGTTCAAGTGGCCATTGAATTTCCTCTGGAATCCCTAGAAACTTTAGCACACCAACTTACTTTTTTAGATACCAAATTAAACATATATGAAACCTGAATATTTAACAGAACTCTATAACATCAAGTTCTGCAGATTAAGAAGTTGATTTTTTTTTATCGCTGATCTGATTGAAAATATCATTTCCTAGTGTTTTCAAAGGCGCGCGCCTCACTGCGCCTTGAGCAAGCACCCCACATCTAATGCAACAGCGCCTTTTGTGTCTTGCATACATCCTAACTTTGCGCTTTGCGCAAGGTGCATGTAGTACATACCCTTATATAGTTTTGTTTGTTAATATTTTAATCAAGACTTTATACTCGATAATCCATATCCCAACAAACAAAATAAATGCATTAGGCATTTTTGGTTGCCTTCAATTGAGGACCATAACTACTCTTTGCTTGGATATTAGTCTTGATTTGACATTTTATTTGAAAATTTATGAATTTTGCTGCTATGTTGGGTGTTAGCAAATTAGAACCTTATATTGTGATTTTGTAGTAAGATATTATTTATCCTGACATATTTTTTATGTAAATTCCTAAACATGTTCTTTCATGCTTGATTATATATCTTGAAAAATTATGTGTGCGGTGTGCGCCTCACATCACTTGGGCTCACGCATCGTATTGTGCCTTGTGCATGTGCGCGTAAAGATTCTTTGCGCCCTGCATTGCGCCTTGTGCATTGACAACGCTAATTCCTACCCTTTAATATTTTCTCAGTAGACAATTCAATTCTTTGGGATACATGTCACGCCTTTTGAGGTACATACTGTGCATTATTTTCTTTCATGAAGTTCTCACATTGGCACCATATCTTACTGTGTAATGCATAGGTTCTATAGACTTCCTGTTATCTAGTGATCATGACAATACAAAAAGAACCTCCTAAAGGGCGGATGTAAAGTTGGTTTGTATACCAGGAACCAGGATGACACACAATAATATATAAGCAAATATTACGGAATTGGCTTTTTATGGTGATTAAGTGAAATTAGGAACCAACAAAGAAATTAAGAGCAGCAAGGCAACAAGGATAAAGCATAATAAAGAAAAAGGCTTCCACTGGCAAGTTATCAACCATGGTAACCATATTATGAGGGCAATTTCTAGCAAATAACTACTGCAAAGGATACTGCAGGCAGAGAGAGTTATCAAAGCCTTAATAAAGTAAGATTATTTAGTAACATTTTCTTGCTAGATATCTCTATGCTTCAAGCGATATATACAACGCAATGGATTTTTCTCCTTACAAATACATTTTATTTTCATACAACTTGATATGTCCTTAAGATGATTGGTTTTTTGATCAATCAACAAAGAAATAAGAAAGATGAGATGCTATTCTAACAAAATTTGAAGCCAAGAGCTCAGGAGGAACACTGCAGACGTATTTATAAAAGAAACAAAGTTAAAGTTGGCAAGAGTTTATTATCTTAAATATCTAATATTGAGTGTCTTTATTCCTAGAATGATGATAGCTAACTGAAAGATAAGTAAAGGCATTAAAACAAAAGTATGCTGATCAAACTTTAACTTTACAGATTAAATTATTCAATAAAGGTGTAGAAATTCGAATATTGCAAATTATTTATAGTTGTGACCTTACCAAACCAGTTGCAGATTAAAATGTCCAAAACAATACTATCCCACCAGCACTCGTTGAAATTTGGCAGCATATGGCGAAAGGTAAGCTGAAAAATAGTATTCATATAAATAAATTGAAGTTATCAATGTCTATCTACAATTAGGGAAGTAAGTATTGGCGGTTCTAGAAAATACCTCCATTAGTTCAAATCCTATCGAAAGTACCCAAAGAAGTGGTTGATTGCGAATCATTATAGCCTTTCCCCACCATCCAAAAATATGAGCGAGAACAAATTCATCAAACAAAGTATCCTACAAAAATCTAAAACCAAAATCAGCACCTTGAAAATTTGGATCTTGTAAACGTAAATGAATTCAAGCAGATAGTATTAAAAGGAAATTAGGTAGGTGACAGAAGAAATCATACGTAAACATTGATAAACCTGCTTTTTGGATTCTCAGGCACATAAATACGACAATCAGTTCCATAAGATCTTTCGGGAAGTTCTGCAGAAAGCTAAACAATGAGGCTAAAATTCTATAAATCCTTCAAACTAATAATTCACAAAGCATCTAAATGAAATACCAATTCCCAGATCAGGGTGAAGAAATTTCATAAACTGCCGAGCATCATCACGGTTCTGGAAAGAGCATGATAATATTTAGAGAATATTAAATAGTAACACTTTTTTTTGAGAGAGAGAAGGAAAAAAAAACACATCTCATTAAAAAAAATAAAAAATAAAAAGTTTCACTAGAGCAATAAAAACCATTGATGAAGTTAACAGAATATGGTCCAAAAGATGCCAACAGACAAAAGCAATCTGCCTTGGATCAAAAATGAGACAGAATATAATTTGGGTTACATAGAAGCTTCATAATGTCCACCAGAGCAGAGAGATGTAAATGCAAAATGGAACAACTCTCTACAGGATATATAATGAAATTAAATCCGACACAAAAAAGTGTGAGAACTCAACCCAAGACTTCAATTTTCGGCGTTTGGTTTGAAAGTGAGCTGTTTATAGACACTTGTATTAAACCTATACCGGATTGTGCAAAGAAAACTACAGAAAATAAAAAATAAGTTTTCTTTGACATTTGCAGAACTAGAAAACCAATGAATTTATTTTTCACAATTAAAAGCTAAGGGGTCAGTGGCAAACCTGGAAGAGCAAAAAGGTAAGTGCAACAAGGTAAACAACAGCCATTCCATGAACTAAACGCCATACAGCAGGATGTGGCCGAATGAGCACCCTGAAAAATATCCAAAACATTGAAGTTTAAGACCATTAATACCTAGATTATTTAATGTATATCTTTATTAAAGTAATTTCTGGTTGTCTGAGATTTTGGATGAAGTTCCTCAAGTTTATGAGTTCTTTACACAATTAACGAAAGTTGGCACACTGCCATTTATATGTTAGTGGCAAGAAGCCATTTCCGTGTGTATTATTCATGTTAACCTACAACGAAAAAAAATTATCTAGAATGAAGATGCTGAAACAGAGTTCAAGAGAGAGAAAGTTTGAATGGATGCCAAATATCATTGAACTATTAGAAGGAATAAGTACAACTTAAGAGGCACAATAAACAGGATTAAATAATTAGAATCAGCACTATGGAATTCATAACTCACGTTGAAGGTGCTTGGAGCAAAGAATAAGCTAGGAACACTGCAATCATAGCCAGCACACCCCTAAATAGAAAATGACAAAGATGTCAGCAAGAATTTACCATTAATTTTAAAGAATAAGAAGATAAAAGAAGTGTAAAGTCACGTCTCTGTTCTAAAAAGAAAGAAAGATAAATAAGCTTCAACTGAGATTGTATAATAGAAGCCCCTAATTAATTTTCTTTTGCAATAAGCATACCTCTTTACAGATGTAACAAGGTCATGAGATGCAGTGCTTTCTGGATCCAATGCTCCACTTGCCCAACTGTAAAACAAAATTTAGTCACTTAGATAAATCGAAAATTAGTGCTTCTTTTGAATATGAAATTTATGACATTTAAACTTGAGTTAAATATTGTTTTCCAGACAGCATGTGTTCTCGTTTATGTTGAATCTACAGCAAGCTTATTACAAATTACGAACTTCTTTTCAAAACATCAGCTAATTTACTAACAGAGCCAATGGCATAGTCTCCAAACTTGGATACCCATAAACCTTGTACTTCTCCCTATACAAATGCATCTTATGTCGATCCTCACTGATCTAAAGAAACCTAAATCATACAACACCCTAACACTGATCCTCAACAGTCTCAGATCTCTGTTATCATAAAACTCACAGCCTGAATATGCAGAGTCTAGGATCCAATATTACTAAAACACTAGAAAAAGTAATTTTAATTATGTTTGGCCCTTTACATTGAACCAATTACACTGAGGAGAATATATAAATCAACGTGTATGTTAAAGTAATATGTAACTGATACATCACTGAAATTGCACTTAAGACTTACATTAGAAGGCATGTGCCTATAAATAGCAAAGAAATTGTACGAGGTTTGTATGCCCATGCTGTCCATGGATCACAGTCATCGACATCATTATGTAATCTAGCACTGCTATCAATCTCTTGACCAACATTATTCACACTAGTTCCTCTCCAGCCATTAACCTCCATAAGCAGCTTTAACACTAACACTGTAATCAAAGACATCAAGATATGAGATGGTAATTTGGTCATAAATTATGGTTCCAAACAAGCAAATTCAAGCTTCATACTCATTGAAGCTTTGAAGAATAAAGCTAAGACACTACAGGCAAAGAAAAAAGAAAAATAAACATTCTAATAAAATCTTGGATATGCTTATAAAAGAATAATATTGGATAAATTAAAAATAAGCTGAAAACATAAGCAATAGGAAACCCTGAACTCCAAAATTCACATACATCTTGGAAGGGAGAAAAAAATCAGAAACAAAAACAAATTCACAGCATGCAAAGCTAAAGATGTTTAAACACTCATCCTGGTCCTCCAAAAAGAAATTGAAATACTGATGCTTGTTACTTGAAATAATTAAGACTGTCGATATGAAGGTTTTCTATAATAAATTGAGATGGTTGAAAAACAGAACATGGAGAAGTTAATAATTATTAATAAAGTGTAAAAAGTACATGTTTTAATGCTGGAAGCTTCTATAATCAGCTCAATTGTATTAAAAATATCACTACTAAATAAGTTCAGCATAAATTCTAGCTCCATGGGAAACAAGTACAAATCATCATCATGCCCTAGATAACTAATATCAGGAAAATGAAGCGAACGCTAAATTGAAAAATATTTTTCTTTATTTCATAACCAAATGTAGTGTTATAACAAAAATTATGATAGAAATAAAGCCTAGCCCAGGTTACATAACAAAGTCATGCAGGTAGGTTATCTCAGAAACCAACTCAAGAGTATTAAACTAAATAAAAACATATATACAGCTTCCCAAAAAAATGATCTTTTTAGCAGTTTCTTAAGTGAAGTTCTTATAAAGTGTAATATAGAATCAACCCCAAAAATATCAAATTTTGACAGAATAGCGTCAAGATCCCTTCAAGTCCATGCTCTCACAGTAAAAAGAATCAATCACAAAATCAAATATAAAATAAAACCCAATCCAAAAATCTCAAAGCAAAAACCCCATAAAAAAAACTTATTACACATGAAATAGAAAAACATAGATAAACCCAATTAAAACCCCATAAAAACACTTAAAATAACTAATTATTCCACTACCCCAAAACTAAAAGCAAAAGGAAGTCGAGGGAAAAGATCGGATTTTGATCACATACAGCAACTGAGGGTAGAAACGCTCAAAAACCCAACGAAGATTACAAACTTTATGACAACAAATTTGAGGAAAAGAATTGAGGAACAGAAGAAAGGCGGCTCCTTTTTCCTCTCTTTCTCGTTTCCCCTCATAATAATAATAATCAATCAATCAAGTATTGAATACCTACGTCAAACTCGATCTGAGCCGTCAAAATCGATCAGAAAACGTCACAGATTTCTCTCTCTAATTTCTTTTCATTTTAAAAGGAATAACAATAACTGAGAGAAACAGAGTTTCGTATAATGGCGAGAGAGAGAGAGAAGAGAGAGAAACAAGTACGGTGGTCAAGGAGAGAGAGAGATAGGGTAAAGAAATGACCCTCGAATTCGAGACAATTACAAGAATGCCACTCAACAGTACAATTGGAATACCACCTGAATATTCTTTTGTATATGGTGAGCCATCAAAGTACAGGGGTGATGAAAAGCATGAGTGAAGATTGAGTAGGTCTTTGACTCATGGGCTTCTAGGGTTTGGCCTTTTAGGCTTGAATGATGCTCTGCCATAATCATCATCATTTGAAGATTGAATTGCTTTGACTTTAGCTATTGATTGTAGGATTTTCAAAGATATTTATAGATATGTCGTTTGAAATTTATTTTCATGTGGTCTTTGTGTTTCTATCATTCTAAGTACCACTTTAATTTTATAATCAATAGTTAAAAAGTTTTGATCATTAAAGGATACATTATAAACAACAATATTCACCTCAACTTCGTAGTCTTGATGCATTGAAGAATATTTAATATGGTAATTAATCTACCGACGGTTTCAATTTGAATAAAACATTTTCAAATTTAGGGGTGCTATAAATAACATCCGTGAACCTTTTAAATTTGAATTAACCCTCAAAAACTACATGTGTCTCACAAAACCATACTTGTTTTTTGCGATTTTCTCATGAGACCCCTCACATCATTATCCCCAAATTGTGTAATCAAATACCTTTTTAGGAAAGAAACTCATTAATAGTTTCAATTAAACCCCCTACGCGTTAGGGAAAAAACACATTGACACAATTTTTTGATAAACAAGAGTGATAGGTGTATCTATCCAAAGAAAAATCAAAAGATGATAAAAGATGTTATTTTGCAAGTTTAAGTGATATGTAAGACTTAATAGTCTTATTTTAGTTGCATGCCTGTCACATGATATATTGGATCTAATAGTATTTTTTTTGCGGGCTTAAGTAAGAAAACTAGTCAAATTAAAAGTTTTCGAAGGGGATCTATACAATATCCCTGAAATTGAAGGGACATGGTCAAATTAAAATAATTGAGGGGATTTTCTATGACACTCCCTATAGTTAAGTGAGTTTTCTAAAATTAATCCATCTTATAATGGCTGAATGTTTTTATTCTTACGTTTTTCACAAGGGACTGGTTTTAAGTTAGACCACATTCTTGTGTGTCGTTCTATCAACATATAATGATTTGTATTCACTGTGTTTGATTCTTCAATAATATTAATGAAAGATCAATGGTGTTAATTGTTTGACTTGCGGAAAAAAAATAAAAGACACTGAAATGAGCTCATTTCACATTTAATTATCCGAGTTCCAAAATATTATCATCATGTGTCATTTCGTCAATTTAACGGAGCGAGGCAAATATAAGTGGCATTTGAATTTTCGTAGCGACAGATGTCAAACATAAAAAACGCGCTTTCGTCGTACGATACAGCTGCAAGGGTAAAACACCAAACAAATGGAACTTTTTAGTTTTTACCGTTTGCCCACAGCATTCCATGAAGGGGTACTCCCGTAAATAAAGGCATTCTCCGTGTCCATTATCGTCAGGTCGTGGACTCCGAAAAGGCATCGGCCAAAACGCAGCAGTCACGTGCAACGGCCGCGGAGCCCGGCTACTCAGAACGCAGCGCACGGGGATCCCCCCACCTCGCCCCTTTATGTGATGAAAATGTGAAGCAGGGGGCATAGTGCAAATAATCATTATAAGGGAAGAAATAATGGTCAAAAGACGTACGTGGTCGATTGTTGACCTCAAGTTATAAATCCCCGACTTTTAGGACAAATTTTTAAAACCATTCTTTTTTTAAATTTATTTATAAAAAACGACTCATTTCAATCTTAATTTTAAAAACCGACCCAGTTGGTTAAAACTGGGTCGGTTTTTGAAAAAAAAAATTCAAACTTCACGGCGTGAAGTTTTGTTGTGAGAAAAAACTTCACGAGAGTTCAACTCCCGTGAAGTTTGAATTTTTTTTCAAAAACAGACTCAGTTTCATCCAACTTGGTCTGTTTTGTAATTAAAATTGAAAAGGGTCTTTTTTTGGGAATAAATTTTAAAACCGGATGTTTTAAAAATTTGTCCCCGACTTTTATTAGGGGGGAAAGGTAAAAAGGAAAATTGCACGGGAAAGGTGGGGAGAGATCCGCTAAGGACTTATGGTTAAGGGGCCTAAAATGGAATAGTTTGAGGCATTAAATGTCGGATAAATTATTAGATGGATTACAACAAAATTCCTCTAATGTTTGCATGGTTGACAAAAATATCTTTTGTTCTTTTTCTATTTCTTTAATCTTAATTTGGATGTAGAAGCTTAACATCAGAGGATCGTACTATTATGTATGCTCACACGTATGACTATTATATTGAACTTTAATTGTTACATCTAAAACGTTGATTATTATTTGACTATAAATTGATATAAGAGGGATAAGTTGTCAGCCTTAGGCGATTGCTGTAAAAAAAAATTCCCAATTTGTTGGGCTATTTCAAGTTGGTACTCAAAGTTTATACATTTTATACATCGAAGTTTTAACACTTTGATAACCCAAAATTCAGTCCTATTTCACTTTGATATTCCCTTCTAATTTGGTTAGGTGTTCTCTAAATTTTATAAAAATGTTCTTAACACGAGATGCCTCATTTTCCTCCACCATTGATGAAAGCATTTAGTTATTTGGGTTGTCAAAAGTCCTTGTCATTATCCCAAAGTTGTGATGAGCATTGAGGGTTATAGCTTAAGAAATTATTGGCTAGCAATATTTTATACTTGATTGCTCTAATACCATGTCAAAGGTCTCTGTCACCACGAAAAAACTTAAAAATAACGGTATAATTAAGGATTGTGATTTTATATTCTAACATGGATCTATAGCAACTTGGTGAAATGGACTTAAAATTCAATACAATTTTAATAATAAATCTACGCAGATCTGGATAGAAATATCAAAGTGAAATGGAATTGAAGTTTTGGATATCAAAATGAAAGAAAGCCTAAATTATTTAGCCTAAATTATTTTATGACCCTTCTTTTGCACTCAAATATCATATGATTTTATGAGAAAATATACCGATTGTGATTCTAGTTTATTTTAGGGAAGATGTTTATGTAAGAAAATTGATTATGTGCGTTAGTGGATGTTCAGAGGAGTTTAGGGTCCTTTGATTTTTCTTGGTAGATGATCAGTCAAGAGGAAGTAGATTCCTACACGAGAAACACACGTTAGAGGACCGAAGTTTGTTGCTTCGGTGTGCCCTCCAAAGCTCAAGTTAGTGATAGATTAGGTAATTTTGTGGAATCTAGTTTCAGGAAGTAATGTAGTAGTTTTTTGCACACATTCGAATAGTGGAGATTACCCATTATTCATAGAGGGTAGATAGGGGCACACTGGTAATTTAACTGGGTTGATGTAGTTGGCTGATCAGACCGCACTTTACATGTATTAGCAGCCAGTTAAATTAGTCATCTTCATCTTTAATCCGACAGTGACATAACGGCTAAAGTGCTAGTGTGGTCCGAGGAGTCATAACTTTAGTCCGAAGAGCAACGATGACTCTGACTCGACATTAAATGCGATGGTGATTGAAGCCGATATGTCATCTCGTTATTTAAGAGATTCTCTCGTGAGGGTCTGAATAGAAGACGTCATTCATCTCAGACCCATCTTTTTTTGATGTACCCCAGCTCGAAGACGCCTTTCGTCTCGGATCTTGGTTGCTAGATGGGTTGGCGACACTTACACCTGGGTCAGGTCTTTTGCAGGTCTTTTGCATTAGTAGGACTCAGCCAATTATTTACGACATGTGGCCAACTCTCAAGAGCTCATTAAATATGATAATTTTCAAGATACAGTAGAAGGTTAATCAGGTAGAACAAAATGTAGAACTAATATAGTTTGTGGGATAAATATTTATAACGTTTTGATCAATTGAACCCAAATTAGAATAAAAAATATTAAGGTGTAGAGAAATGTACACAAACAGAATTGAAATAAATTTTTTTAAAAAAATCTTACTTTTTCAGTACCTATGTACAAACAAGGGAGTTACAGTCTTCTAAATCATCTGATGTTTTTGTCATGTAATTACAATGAGTTTGGGAATTAATATTTGAAATAATCCAATTTTATATTATGGGAGGTGGAGGAATATTATAAAGAATGGGGGAAGAAACGACAAAAATCATAAAAGTTAGGGGGTGCAGAAGGCGACAAAAGATAATTAAGCAAAGGAGGGGGGGACAGAAAGGGGGATGTGGGCTTTGCCAAGTATGGGAATAGGTACGTGGAAATGGGACCCAAGAAAAGGACCCTACCACATGTGGGCAACTGTGTGGCAGTTTTTGCGACCTTTTCTCAGTGCGTGTAGGTGGCCCTTTTTGGTACTATTCTTCATCATTGGTTCATTAAATTTTGCCTTTTCTTCTTTTATTTTTTATTTTGTATTGGGTAATTATTGGAAAATATCCTTCAAGTTTGAACAGTTATTATGAAACCCTTAACGTTAGTTTTTTTATTGCAATACCCCCTACTGCCAATCAAAATGTTAAAACTTATTACTTTCCTATCAAAATAGAAAAACTTCTCAAGAACCCAAAATATGGAACCAATAGGGGGGACAAGTGAGGTGCCCCACTCCTATTGGATGATGAGTTGGCCATCATTAATGATGGCCAACTCATTATCCAATAGGAGGGGGACACCTCATTTGTCCCCCCTATTGGTCTCATATTTTGGGTCTCTGTAGCAAAGCTCATCAAAATACCAACGATCATTGGAAAAAAGAAATTATTAGATTAAGATAATCTCTTCAACTCCATTAATTTTAGCTTCTATTTGGAATTATTTTTAGTTTTTAATATGTGTTTGTACCTGAGAGAGGAGAAATATGTTAAGGGAGATAAGAAAGTGGCACAGTTTTGGTAAAGCAATGCATTTTAACGGTTTTTCTAACTGCAGAGTGTTTTATAATGGAAAGATAATGTTAAGGAGTGTCATAATAAGTGATTAAACTTTAGAGGGTTTCAGAATAATCATCCTTTTGTATAAATTGGGTGTACCGTTTAGACCATGTTCATGTATTTCCATTTTTTTTTCCAGAAGGACAATATTATCTGGTTTCAAGCTAATAAAGGTAGGAAGCAAATATAGTCGAGGATATGATATTTGTTAATCTAAGCAATATGATATTTTCAGTAGAATACTGAAAAAGGAATATCTACAAGCCATAAATATGTAAACATATTCATATTTTTCAGAAAGAGAAAAAAAAGAAGTTTTGGGTTAGAATATTAAGCATTATCTGGAAAGAGATTACGAAAATAGAATACTTTTCCATTAAATTCTATATTTTCATATATAGAAACATGATATAGCAATTTTATCCTTTATCATAATCCATGTGATAAATCACACCCTTGCGTACAAGCCAGCTCACCCAGACTTCCCACCTTCAGGGTTCTTGGCAAAACACGTGCGTAAAAATACATAAAACAAAATGATTAACAATTTGTTGCATTATAAGAGTGAAAAATATCGTGTAAGTTTCTTCAAAACCCCTTACGAAAAATTCAATTTGGACCTACGAACCTCAAAATGACCACACTACTCCCACTTCAATCATGCACAAGTAGCCATCTCAAAATCCCAAGATGCACACACAAGGAACATAAATGACAAGTCAATATCACCACATTCAAACACAATCAAGATCAAATTACAACTTTCTCAAACCGAAAGCCCCCACCACATCACAAAAAATGAAGGGGAAAAAAAACCCAATTAAATTAGAAAATTACGGTAAATTTATGAACCTTTATTAAATCCCAAAAGTGGAATGAAGACCACGAGAGACTACAGGAGACAAGACTACAGGCCCATGTTTCATTTTCAATGGTCACCACCCCAACTCATACAGAGCTGTGAAGACCCCCACAAATGTTGAATTCAAACAAACAACAAGTTATTTAGGTTTTTATATATGTTATCCTTAACAACTAAGGATGGAGGTTGGTGCACTTTCATAAGAGGACAAGGACAGTGCATCAAGTTACTACTTTAATCTTAACGATAGATCCACTGATTGAAACTGGATTAGGTTTGGGTTTTGTATAAAAGAAATCTTGCTTGGTGGAAATCCGACACAAGCATCTTGATAGTTGGCAGATTATTAAACAAGAATATGATGCAGTTTGCAGTACGTAAGAAGAATATGTGTCCGATATCGATCGGACGGTGGAGAATCATCATCAACAGCCTGGACCAGCAAGCTGACCAGGCCCCACATCGAGTAAGATATTGACCAGTCAACAATATCATGTAAGGAATCCTATAAGAGGGCTAACATAGTAACACTGGTAGCTCTGAAATAATCAGTGTACAATATCAATGCAACCACCCGTAATAACATCGACCCGTAATAATATCAACTAGAACGCAACATCACCGCAATCGCCGACTTTAAAATCTGTGTTGGACACTTGTCGCAGTGTCCTTCCCTTGTGATTTTTCCATTGAGGACCCATATCTTGATCCGGGCTCATCTGGGTCAAACACCCGTAGTCCGACCGAGATACTGTACAGCTGAGCTGAACACAAGCACGTGAGAGACACAGACCCTGTCCCCCTGAGCCAAGTCTGTTAAAACTGCAATTTTATTTGGAAAAAGGGGGGGAAAAACTCTGGAACTCAAGAACTTAACCGGAGATGTCGTACAAGGAAAGATACAGCACTCACCCTGGGTACCTGGTTCCCAATCCAGCATTGCTTTGCTTGTACTCTAAAAAAAATAGATCTTTTATATAATTGATATAGGATAGTAGATGAGAGTGATATGTTACAAGAGATAATTCACCTATCACATCATGATACAATAGTATGCTGGTATTACGTTTCTATCTGGATCATTGCTCTTTCCTTATCTGATTGCTGATTCTCCGAACCCTGTAAATTGCGGGCTGGAAAGCAAAAGAATTACAATGCGGAGATGTGAATATAAAAGGAAATTGTTAGGCTAGACTCTTCTGTGATGCTTGTTTTTGCTCTTTTTAAGCAGCATGGACATTGCATCAATGCCTCTAGATCCTGATGAGTTTCCGCCCATTAACCATTCCAATGCCTCGGCTGCAGCATCCTTTTCTGCAAGTTTCTTATTGCTGCAAGGTTGTCCGACAAATTGCATCCCATTGAACTCAACAGTGGCTCTGAACTGATTGTTCTTGAGCTGCTTTGTTTTGTAAATGGGGTTATCATGTCCTGCTCTTGTTAGAAGAGTCTGGAGCTGGCTCTTGGAGTTGTCACCTCCACCGCCGCCGCTGGATTTGGCTGAGAGCAAGGATTTGGTTTTCTTGGGTGTTAGTTGTTGCCGACCATATACAAAGCGACCACTGCATGGGTCCTCTGTGACGAGTAAACGGACAGCAGCTAGGAGCTCCTCGCTAGTTTGGATGTCCATTCTAGGGTTTAGAAGCTGTTGATAAAAGTAGCTCAGTCAGCAAAAGTTAACTACTAGGAAGTGAAAAATCTATAGTGAAGAATAGCTTATGCAGCTATCATAAAGAGCATTTTTACATATGCTATAATCTAAGCTGCAATGAAACGGCCACAGCTATGGATATGGGTACGGGCACCGGACAAATCAAATTTGTAAAAGGTAAGGGGATGAGGACCAGTCTGAAATGCGTGGGATGCAAACCTAGAGACACAAATGACCCTTTGAAATCGTAGTTTTTAACTTAGTATGAGCTGAAACCAACCCAACCATTGTCCATCAAGTTTCAAAAGTGGATGTGTAGGATGTATGTCAAGAATTGTATGATGATAGTTTTAAATTAAAGCATGTATTATATTATTGAGTACAATCTGAATAAATGTATGCATATATTTAAAAAGTGCCCACGAAGTGTCAGGTACTGGTACGGGATGTGTCAGGTACGGCTTCATGAGAGAAGTAATCAGGCAACATAGGCTATAATGCAGACAGTATGAACTGCAAAAACTACATGGATCTGATGCTTGGTTGTGTTCTCAAAACTATCCTGGGGACAAATTTCCTGCATGCACAATGTCCCACAACTAAGCTAACCAAACTGAATAACTAATGTTCTGATATCAATTGTCAGGTACAGGCATGGGACATGTCGGGTATGACTTCATAATAGAGGTAACCAGGCAACATAGGCTATAATGCAGACGGTACGAACTGCTAATACTACATGGATTTGACATTTTGGTTTGATGTTCTTAATATTATCCTATGGACAAATTTTCTGCATGCATAATGTCCCACAACCTAGCAAACCAAATTGAACAAATCTGGAACTCATGGTCGGATATCACCAACAACAAACAAGAACAACAAAGTGTTCACCGCAGTTGCAAGGAGAGCCTACTGTACAAGTCTTTATTCATTTTCTCTACTATCTCACCAACTCTAACCCGCACAAATTAGGGAAGGTAAGAAGATTAGGAGGCGGCCTAAGAGAACTTGGTTAGAAGTCGCTAGAAGAATATGATAATGATTAACTTAGTGGAGGAGATAGTCTCAATAAAAACTGACCAGAAGACTAGAATTTATGTAGCCAACATAAAAAATTTAGAATAATGCTTTGATCTTGTTGTCTGCCACTCTAACCCAATAAAATCTGCCAGGTTGATTGCATAGAATCTGGTTTAGAGTCTTGAGATGAATTGAGCACATTGGGACCAAAGCAATCATATGGAACTTTAAAGTGATGCTCGATTGATCAGATTGGGATTCAGTGTGATGTGCGAATGCATTTCTAATATTTTACTTCCTATTACTGTAAATATCTCTACACAAATCTAGAGTTGAGAACATTGAAATCAAAGCAACTATGTAAATAGAACTTACGAGCTAAATTGGTAATTAATTGATCGAAGCCATTATTCATTACAGTTAATGGATGCTTTAGTATTCACCTCTTCAATTTGTGTGCAGAATTAGATTGAGCGATCAAGGTCTCTCAGGTGGCTCAAGGTACCCAAAGCAGCATCAATATTTTACTATAGGTGTTGGCCAAGTGTGTGATATGTGTCAGATACACATCCAACACTTACGAAATTTATGTTGGTACAACTTTCAACATCAAAATATTTTAAAAATTAAGTGCACGCATTTGACATGCATCAGTTATTTTGGATACTTTAGCTTTTGTCGTCACTTATCATTTTAAAAGAACAAAATTTAAGATTAATGCTTGAACAATGGGGTCAACCATATGTTTCCTTTAATGTTTAATCAATGATTCAAATGATTACAGTTCAGCATTCAATATGCATGCCTTTTAAGCCTTGTGGTGTTTACAGAAAATTCAAAAATCACACACAAAAATCTATATCTTACACTCCATATGTCACGCACATTGTAGCGAGCATTATGATGTTTCCATGTTGTAAATAGTATTGTGTTCTTACTTCTTACTTCTTCTCATCATATTTATTTCATACCTCTAGATCCATTGTTTATATTTCTAAAAGCATAACTTATGGAGTTTGCATCTGAATTGTATATCTTTCTAAATGTACATCTAAAAGTTTGTATTATGTAGTCTATAAATTTTTATTTGCAACTATTCAGATAGAAATAAATATAATTACTAGTGCATCCTAGATCTGAATTTGCCATATTGTCGCATCCGCGTTCAATAGTTGTTGATTTATCCATATCCAACCAAATGGAGCTTGTACCTGAATTTAGCCCAATTCTAAAATGTGAAAGGTCCTAATAGACCCAACCTCGAACATGTTGGGTTGGGGTTCAGTTACTTGAGTACGATGTTCAATAATCCAATGAATATGGGCTACTTCAAACAACTGAATATAATACTAGAAGATACAGGGCAATATTATACAACACCACAGATGATGGCTGAATTTTTTTTTAAATGTTATAAAAAGGATGTACCAACATACTTTGTTATGGAGTAGCTCATCAAGTTCTCTCTTGAGGCCTAGATATGTTGATGCCAGATCAGGTCTCATAAAGAACTCCAAGTAACCCCCCAACATTTTCAAGTGACCATCCTGTCAAACAAGAAAATGTCAATAACAGTTACATGACTACTAGCTCATACAGTAGATAGATGAACAGTTAGCTCCCTTATAATTCAAGGAAATGAGATAAACACTTACGAGTCCTCCTTGTGTGATGTTTCCTCCAAAGAGAAGCAGCACAGTATCAGATACTGCTGTTGAGTCGCGAAGGAAAACTGAATTGACCTTCACTTTCTCATTAAACACTAGCCATGGATAAGGAATTCTAGCCTCCCGACCATTGACCGAATTCTACAAAAGAAATTGAGATAAAAAAAATCATAACTATTGGTAACAATACTGAACCAAGGGATCATGGAACTGACAAGTAGCTAACTTAGATGGCTAACAATAACTAAACGTAGAAAGAATTAACTGTGGTAAGCATAATAGGTAAAACTTACAGAATATAGCATTACTTGACCATCTTCCATTGTCTTCAAAGCTATTGACTTCTCCTTGTTCTGTAAGGTTGAATCAGATTAGCCATCATAGAATAGCAAGTAGAAAGACTAAACGGATTTCTTCTCTGACAAAGAATATTAGAATGCCTCTAGTATAGATTTAGTGGGGAAACACATTAGCTTGTATTTTCTACACTAAGGGGCTGCTTGATTTGTTACAAAGATAAATGTAGCAAATGTCACACCACCAAATGTATTGCAAGAAAACAACTTCAATTCCATTGTTTTGACAGCTGCTTTGGAAAATGAATTTCCAACACAAGTTAGTGTTTGGTTGAAAAATAATGGTGCAAAGGCTACATGATTCATAACGTTTGAAGATGGTTTTCTCTAGATTGAATTGGAAAGTTGTTTTATGTGTTGGCAATTTACTTTATATTTGCTTATTTCCTTTTCCAGAAGCTGCAGCTTTTGCTCCCACCAAATTGGTACAGCGCTTGATGCAGTTTTTTCATCAAATTGACTTACCTTTCCTAATTACAATGTTTTTAAACAAACATGAGTAATATAAATCTTTCTGCAAATATTTACTTCTGAAACTCTTTTCCCTCTCAACCAAAGAGCGCCTAATATTGTGAGGCCAACAGTTCGTTTTGATTGCAAAGTTGGATCAAATAGTATGTTTTACAGAAAATAATTCTCACATCAGCTCAAATCACACTAAGAATGTCACTTATGAAATGCAACGAGATCTAGGGTGTGTTTGGTTAGGAATTAGGACAACAAATGTTGATGGTATTCTACTCATGGTGTTGCAACACTCTTAAATTTGAGTGTTGTTCCAACACCTCTATTTTTGACTTATTTTGTTGTTGCAACAACCTTTTGGTGTTGTAATAACATCTAACCAAACAAGACTTTTGGATTTTAGATGTAGCTCGAACAACGTTTTGGTGTTGTAATAACATCTAACCAAACAAACACTTACATGTGAACGGAAGGAGGGGGTGGGGGGAGGGGAGGGGGCAGAACGTAACTTCAGCGCAAATTATACTCATGTTGTGACAAAACTAGAAGACCGCACAATTAGATAGAAACAAGGGTAAAGACGGAAAACCTTACCACGACTGAACAGATACCAGGATACAAACCCGCACATATGACTGCACGAATGAGGTTCTCATCTCGACTCCACTTGTTACACGTGCTAAAATTTTCATCAACCAAACCAGTATCCTTAAGCAGAAAAATAAATTGTTTCCTCAGAGAATCAATAGCCTTTAATGTTTGTGCAGAAAGAAAATTCTTCCAGCAGTACTCATAACCAGAATGCTCTCTTTCAGCATCCTTCCAACCTTCATAAGCTCGAACAAGTGCAAGATGATCACTATAATCTCGACAAGAAAATTGAGATTTTGCAGAGTCTGCAAGCTGCATAAGGCAAGGCAATCACTTACACCATGCTGGTTTCATATGTAGAATACATGCTGAGAAAAATGACCAAACCTAAGGTTAAGTGCATTAAATAGGAAAAAACAGTGTGCACCGATGCAAGTAACTCTTGTCTACAATGCAAGTCAGCTTCAAAGGCCTTACAAACATATTTCTTGCCCAAATGAACATAAAATAGAGATGCAATACAAATAATTTGACCCAAGTTTGATAGTCTATCCATATGTAGACATATATGGGCACTTGTATCTAAACTGGATAAACCATTGATATGGTAGGTGTGGTGCTAAGTCGCGCCAGATATCCGGATAACTAAATGCATATCAGGATACACAGGAATATATACCACAGCACATACATCATTATAAATTATATTATATTTTATGTTTGTTTCATGTTAGATCATGCAGCACAGAACTTTATTACAGGCATCATATACATCATATTATTTTGGGTTGAACTCATTTTCCCTCAAAGATTTAGTAACTAACCCTTATGTCTACAATTATATGGATGTGATCTGAGTCCAAAACCAAAGCAAAAAAGAATGTTGAGAGTGAAATAGGATAAAATAGTTGTTAACAAAACTGAGGCGGTGGAACTTTGAGGAACCTGAGTGAGTGAGTGAGTGGCTTCCTTATTTTTGTTGTTGCATAGAAGTCTTTACTTAAACAATATGAAAACACTTTTTTTAAAGGAACCTTTTTACAAAAATGCTCGCTGTCATTGTTCATAAACACCATCTCCAGGGTAGGTCAATTCCATACACATGGTCGACTCGACACAAACTATATGATTGTTCAATTAAAAGAAAAAGAATTTAAACAAAAAAGAAAATTACAAAATAAATATACTTCAGAATTTATATTCCATCCGTGAATGATCACGATAATGCAGCTGGTCAATGAACTTGGGAACAGGCTTCTCTATGAGGCTTTAACACAGGGAAAATAGCGCTTAAATCACAGAAAGAAAACTAAATGGTACACACAATAAAACACAGAAACATAAGGATTTAAAGGTTCAGGTACAGTTTGATGGTATAATCTAATAGATGAAAATATTTGGGAGATAATGGTGATTGCTTGATGTCTTTTTTTCTGTGTACTAATTTAGGAAATTGGAAGCAAAATAAATTGACATTTGCTCATAGAGCCTCATATAAGCTCAACTTACATCCCTTTTGTCAAACGGTGTCAAAAATGGATCTCTGACACTTAGACCAGCAACAACAGTCAATATAGGATCGAGGCAGTTGAATATAGCACCATAAATGAGCATTTTTCCAAGTTTTGGCTCAACAGGAAGCATTGACAAATATCGTCCTGGCAAAAGACAAAACCATGATTCTTCAAGACTTGCTCAATCAAATACTGGAAATGTTCAAGGCCATGAAATTACAATCAATACAGAAAATGAGATGGATCTTCTACCTAAAACAGTTAACTCTTCCTTATCATCCAAGGCCCCAATAACTTTCAAATACTCGATGGCATTTTGTATCTGCAACAGCATTAATTAATATACAATGCCAAATCATCAGATGTCATCATTACTGAGATATAAAAAGATGATGAAAAGGAACAATGTGATTCAGATGCGTGTGCTAGAATAAGAAGCCAGTTTATGATGCTTGCAATTTAAAGGTGTAAAAAAGGAAAGCAGGAAATGAGCACACCGATAAGGGTTCTGGTGATTGCAAAGCCCTAGATAGGAAATCAGAGATGCTACCAAGCCTTAGACTCTTAATTTGCAGACAGAGAGATTGTAGAGGCGTCCTTAGAAGTTCTGGTAATTGGTAATCTGTGAAGGCATCATACACGCATCTTGGATAGAGATGATAACATTCTCCAGGCTGAACACGACCAGCTCTCCCTCTTCTCTGCACAATACACAGAAGAAAATAAATACCAACTACTGATAAATCTCAACCTGATGTAACAACCAGATCATACTTTATAGAGTGATTGGAAAACACCGACTCTCAACTATTCCACTAACCAAACAAGACAACTTAAAATTGTTTATTGTTGCATCGAATTGTACCTGCCGAGCAGAAGCCTTAGAGATCCAAGTTGGGAGCAAACAAGGGGTATTATTCAAAGCATCATAAGATGTCTCTTTTGCCTTTCCACAGTCGACAACGAAAACTACATCATTTATTGTAATACTTGTTTCCGCCATATTAGTTGCAAGAACTATTTTCCTCACACCATCTTCTGGCTTGTCGAAGATCAATCTCTGTGTACATAAAAGGTATTAATTTCCTTGTGTGTACAAAATCAAGTCATAGAAATCACATGTTTACCGATGAGGAAATGATAATGCCTAATATGTAGGTCAAGAATGTGTATCAAAATGATACATAATATATCAATATCAAGAAAACATCAAAAAGAGCTATGGACCTCAAAATAACAAGAAAAAAAACAATTAGTAGAAAATGAAAAGGTTAGAACAATTAAGAAGGCAAACCATGCATGTTTTCAAGAAAATGGGCAGGTGAAGGATGGACGGGATGGTGTGGTGCACATTTGGAGGGAGAGGCAAGCAGTCGGGATTGGGTTTCTTTCTTTTTCCTTCTCTTTCTTCGTTACTTCTTCTTTTTCTATGTATTGTTGGGGGGGGGGGGGGGGGGAGTGATGAGAAATGTAAGAATTTAAACACATAGATTATAATCAAGTAATTGAATAGAATAAAGAAAACTAAATGTCCAATTCGAAACTGAATGCCTAACACAAGCCTCCCACATGTTCACAGGCGTTCAAGTTCTGCTATAACAGTACTCACTTATGCCAAAAGGTCCCTTAACTCCCTTCGTATATTAAGTGACATGGGTCCAATGTGTCAGTTTTTCAATAAGCTTTTTGTTCTTCAAAATTCTGATTTCCTACACATGTTGAAAACATGTTGGGCAGCAAGTCTTGAAACTTATGATTATCTATGCATCTTCAAAACATGTTGGGCAACTATCGTTATCTGATACATGACCAATATGGACAAATGATTTGGAAAATATATGCTTCCTACTATGCCACAAGGAAGTAAGTGCAAACCATACTCCGATAACTAACTAGATAAAAATTACATTGACACATAATAATAGAAAGTACATAATACACATTGCAAAGTGATAATGAACATACATAATTTAATTTGTGCAGAAAATTTAATCAATTTAACTACGGACAAAAGTTCATCAAGCGAATAAAACCCAACCACCTAAGTTAAGCTGTTAGGACATATGCAACTAACTTCAATGTGTTTGGCAACAATAAGTATCCTGAGAGTTTCATGACTGCAAGGCTCTTATTAAGCGTGCAACTAACTACATTCTGTTTTTATTGATATTTCTTGTGATTACAAGCAAGCTTTTCTCTTTCCACAGGCAGTGATCATGAGTTGTTTCCCTTGGTTAATGCTGCTCCATGTTACTTGGGTACTTCTAATCTGAAGCTATACCCATACCTAACATGTACCTGTACCCATACCCAAGCTCTTTGGACACGCCTTGCATATATGCATACATTTATTCAGGCATGTACTTACACTACATGTTTTAATTTAAACACGTGTCATACATTTTCTGGACATATATCCCACACTTTAGATCTACTTCTTGAAACTTGTCGGACATAGGTCAGGTTCTCAACTACGATTTTGAAGATCGTTTGGATGTCTAGTTCAAAAACTAGTGATTTTTCACCTTGTAATCCACATAATAAAAGAAACATAAATTTTAATTCTCATCCCTATTTTGTGCCAATATATAATATGTGTATATAAATATCTATATAGTCGTGTCCTCATACCCTACCTTTTACAAATTTTCCATGTTCTATACCCGTCCCCATGCAACACATATGCTACTTGATTTCCACAATGCTTCTATATTAGCCCCCAGAGGCCAAGCTCGGGAGATGAAATGCTGAGGCAGGCAGGGAAAGATCCCAGGTTCAGGTAGTGTTGTTAGCAGCAGACCAAAAAATTTAAAAGACTTCTCCAGTACAAATCCTTTTTTTTTCATGCCCTTCCTTTTGATAAACTTTAGAAAGATTATCCTTGTCTCTGTTTATGTCTCGGATTGGAACAATAAATTTCTTTAGAATTAGAATTAATTACCAAGAAACTGAGAAATATTATGATGGGATAAAATTACATCTCTGCCTTACACAATCTTAATAATCGAATTCAAGGCCATAACTCATCCAGATTCGAATTAAGCAGCATGCGTATGGGCACACAATGCGCACACATGCCATCACACATAGTACGATGTGAAACATAACATGGTGAAAAAAACCAAAAACTAGTGGACCAGCATGGAAAATCATGAAGTTATACTACGTGAGAACTCGGTGGCTAAGTGCGCACATGCAGACAAAGAAAGATTTGCTCAGGAACAAAATTACATTCATGTTCTACCATGTACCAGAGAAATTCTGCTGTGATAGATAAAAAGTACTACAGATTAAATTATGAAACAAGAACTAACACGAATGCTTAGAAATCTACAACTTTAACCTCAAGCAACTTGTAGAAAGTTTACCTGCTCCGAGCTAGCCATGGAACCATGACATGCTAGAAGCAAAACTTTGGAAGGATCTCCAAGAAAAGGATTTGCTAGGAGTTGATCTTTAAGTGAATTTATGTCATCCCATCCAGTCATAAACACTAAAATTGCACCAGGCCTCTCTTTTCGACATATATGGCACAAAACAGCTTCTATCAAGTTAAAACCAATCGAATCAGGATTCCAGCATGACAGTGAATCACGAGTTCTAGAACCGTACTCTCTAAAGTCAGCAGTCTCTAGTGCATCCTGTATTAAAACAATG